GTAGGAAGTCATTTCCAACGGACAGGTAATATAGGCAGTGGGACGGGAACACTATTGATGGGTGACAAAAGGTTATCACACTCGATAAGATTCGATAAGAGGCTGTAGAAGGGTCATTATGACGGTCACAACAGAATGGAAAGGTATCCTCAGAAAGATCGCGCTTAAAACCACGAATATTAGAGGGGGATACAATGTGTGCAACGATGAGGGATATAAACCTGTTTGCAACCTTGTTTTCGTATTTCCGTTCAGAATGGGTCTATCATTATTAGGCACATTTGCAGCATTCTTACTCGCCCAAAAGATGAATGCCTCGCAAAGCCACGTTGGGCTGGCGAAGTCGGACCGCACATAGGAAGAAGGAGCGCCCGGTGTCTGCTGGGTGATCCGACTGGTATACATGTAAACCATGGACTGACATGAAAGAGAGCAAGAATTCTCAAGACAAAACATTTTATTTCAATCGACACAATTATTAACAATCCACGGAAAACAATTAAAGACAAACTTATCGCGATCACGACTATTGGGCGGGCAATTGTAGCTCTGTCATCACTGGAGTATATCGGCATAGTTAGGCTCTCAGTAAAAAAAGAGACGGCAGAAAATCTCGGAACACCCTTGAACCACAGACCTAAACCTTTTCGCAGTGGGGGCGGGGCCTGGACGAGTGTGCCGGGGCGTGGCTGCAGAATTCGAATGCGACAGCCGCCATGCGTCCCCAACTTTCGAGATAGAATACTGTTCAAAGCGTAAGGCAGCGTTCATGACTTGTAAGCGCTACGGCGCTCGCTCTACACGTAGCGCTAGCAGCGCCCGCTTCGCAGCGCTACTGCAATTGCATACCCCGAACCGATGGATGATAGAGTTGCTTACAGAGAAGAATTGGGAAGGTTGCTGAAGTTTTCTTTGAGAAATTGACAAGAAAAAAGAAAAAGAAAAAAATGACAGCGACAAACCCCACTCGACAACAATTTCCCTACCATTGGAAAAAGCAAGCACTAACATATGCCATACAGCAAAAAAAAAAACTCTAATGGTTCCGGCACTTTGCACACATGTTTAACAGCCATGACCGAAGTAAGACGTTTAGCTGAGCTATGAGGCCAGCTTTGCGGCGGGGCATAAATTGCCAGTGGGACCGCGTAAAGGGACGCGCGGGCTTTAAGGGACGGATGCAGTTTCGGGACCAAGACGCCTCGTCCCACCTACCGTCTCCGTGAGCCCTAAGCGAGCCTTGTCAGAAACTTGTCGATAACTTTCCTCATCGCGCGCACATTGATGGCATAAAAGCGGGATCGGATCTTCAATCAGGCGGCAGAGGGTTCCAGAAGGCGCGACGTCATTTTTGAAGGCGCTCTCGAGCGCGGATACCTGTCTTTAAACCAGAACAATAAAACATTTACTAAGACATTTTTCTTTATAAAAAAAGAAGTTGCCACGAGATGAAGCGGACCACGCCTGAAAAACGTAGGAAATTCTGAGGGTAGAAATTCTGCGACTTTGAGTGGTGTGATTCTACAAGGGAGGTGTTTCAGGTCATGACGCGCTTTTGGAAATGGTTTGTTGCTTGTTGTAGGGTGCCATACGAGGGTCACAAAAAAGGGTTTCATTTTTGCTAGGCGTTTCTGGGTAGGTTAAAAACGGGTTGAAAAGATTGACAAGAGTGGGCGGTTTAACAGGCCTAAGGGGCTCCTTTCAGCTTGTAACTTCGAGCATGCATAGTTTATGAGGTGGTCACATGATTAGGCCTCAAATAGGTTCGATTAAAGTCAAAATGTAAGTATCATGTGGTAACACACTTGGCATGCACCGACGCAAGAGTGATGTTTTTGTCAGCAAACCCTTCACCACCCCTGCAAACGGGTCGGATGGTGCAGTGGATAACACGACGGGTTCTGGATGGCAAGGCAAGGGGGCACTTGTGGATCGGATCCTTCTCGCGAAAATGTTTTGCATTTTTTCAGCTTTCCACTCATGCCTGTGTGTCTGGCAGTAGAAATAAGTCAAGTATATGCCATTTGAAGGCATATACCTTGGCCACATTGTGGCCAAGAAAGCGTGCTGGTGCTGCCCTTCGTAGTTCATGTCAGAGGGTTATTGCAATGAAATACCATCACATTTATGTTCAACGGGTTGGATTACCCCTGGGGACTAATTTCTAGCCAAGTCTGACGTTTCGACCTTACGGAAAATGTGGGCCATTCTATGGACATTTGGCAGCAGGCGGGGTCCACCCACCATGGATGACTGGTCTTGGGATGGTATTTTCTACCGGTAAATCAGGAAAATGATGCAGGCGGCTCCATACAAGTGAGCCAGGTATTGTTCTTTGCGAAAAGACATGACTGAAGGGTATTTCAGTGCAAAGACCAGTCATCACCAGTATGCTAGTCGGATTATTGGTTATCATCCAGGCGCGACCATCTCTACCCCATTTTTCCGAAGTTGAGTGAGAATCTCGGATTTCTAAGGTTTCTTTTCTAACAGGTTGTTTGACCCCCTGAACACGAATATGATATCTATTTGCACGGAGAGAGCTGTGAAGTCGTGCTACAGGTGGCCAAATTCACGTGCGCAGCCCACCCGCAAGAAAAGAAAAGCGAAGGAAAACTACAGTCCGCTCAGAGAATCGTACCGCAAATTTTGAAGCTAGTTTTCGATTCAATGTGTCAAGACGAGTACAATGATATGCACTCACTGCAAAATGTCCAGGCTGTCGTATTGGCCTTTCCCTGATGACACCTTACAAACCAGCACAGTTGTGTGGAGCTTTGTTCCGGAAATGTTCACGTCTCGTTGCCTTTGATACAGATGCAAAACTGCTTGCCGCAATGAGGATCCGAACCGAGTCCCGCATTGTCGTGCCATACAGAACCCATGTGCTATCCGCTACGCCATCTGATCCGCAAGCAATGGTCATGAAGGGAGAGCCAAAAACATCAATCTTGGCGTCGGTGCATGCCAGATGTGTTACGCATGATACTTACATTTTGACTTTAATCGAATCTAATTTTGAGGCCTAATTAGTGACCACCTCCATAACTATGCATGCTCGAAGTTTACAAGCAGAAAGGAACCCATTAAGGTTGTTAAATCCGCCCCATTCTTGTCAAATTCTTTTCACTGAGTTTTTGACCTACCCAGAAACGCATAGCAAAAATGAAACCCATTTTTGTGACGCTTGTATGGATGCCTACACAAGCAATAAACGCATTTCCAAAAAGCGCGTCATGACCTGGAACACCTCCCTTGTTAGCGTCACCTCATGATCGGAGACAGCGTTCGAGTTCTTATTCAGTACTGGAACGATCTGAAAATGAAAGTAAACTGCCAGTGAAATCGAGACCAATTCAAACTATATTTGAAGATATGGCTCAGAAGCAATGTTTCTGGCGTGTGCTCAATTCTTTGGCATTGGAGCCGCATTGGAGCCTGCATATGAGAACTTCCGAGAAGCAGACCAACCGGAAAGAGAGTATGTGCGCTTGGAGCAGATCCCATTCCTTGATGCGAGGTTACGTACTTTCGACGAATACCTCGCTGTACGCGATGCTCGAAACTTCCCGCACTACACGAGGCTGACGCCGTTGGAATTCGAAAACCTCTACGAGCGGCTCGCCGGTTCCCTGCTTCACCCGGCTTCACACGCTTCACCCATTAGCGGCCGCGAGCGACTATTCATTTTTTTGAAGTGATGGTTTAGTTCAACATTCCGTCCCTTTACCTTAAACGTGACATCTAAATTTTAAGATTTGTTGGCCACCGATGCGGGTTCGGTTCCCCTGCTGAAGAAATACTGTGGAAAGTCGACAATTCAGATTGTCTACGAAGTGGCGGACGTAATAAGGGGTGGGAAATTTGACAATGTAAAAGTGTTTTACACTGCTCTAAATCACCATCCACCAGTGCTATTTGCGGAAGCCTTCCCACGGTTCACAAGGGACGATCGCGAGAATGTGGCCAGAAAAACCCAAGAGCGCTATGACTACCACGCGCAGTAGGCTTCATGGATGGTAAACACATTAATATAAAGGTAGGAAGCAATATTATGGATGCCATAAAGATCTTAGCGCAGTAAATGAAAGCATTGCAGAAGCCGGCTCATTCCGGCAGCATGTACTTCAATTATAAAAAAAATTTCTCCACCATATTACTCGCCCTGGTAGATTGCGACTACCGAATTCCAGCCTTTAATCGGGGTTCGCCAGGGCGAGTGGGTGCTGGAGTTTCCAACAATTCAAACATCAAGGTGGGTTGAAAATGAGAGGTGCCACACTTCCGTTAATGGTTATAGTTCAGCGTTTCTTTGAAGAAACGATGTTGTTTTCCCTCCTACACGACAGCTGGCAAATGTGGGCCCTGTGCAGTACCACATTTTAGTGGACTCTGGGTTTGCACAAGGGCACCGTATGTGCGGCCATATAACCAGGCAGCAGCAGATACGCCGAGTAAAAGAAGGTTCAATGCAAAGCATAGCGGGTGAGAACAACTCGATTATGTTACCTTAAAAAAATCTAAAATCCCTTGAAATTAGGGCCCGAAGGATGGTCGAGTCCACGTTCGGTATTTTGTGCCGAAGATTCGCCATCCTCCAAAATACAATCCAGCTAAAGCCTGACAATGCCCAGAAAGTGGCGACGTCGCTGCTGGTGAGCGTATCATAATAAAAGCTCTAACTCATGCCTCCCTTGGATAGAACTGTTAGGGTGTTGCACAATGTCTTAGCAAGAAGAAAGAATGCGCTAGAAGGGGTGGCCAGTTTCCCGGCTCCCAATCACCAGCTCGACGCACTTAATGACGTCGATAGGAGGGATGGCATAGAAGCAGCAACGACGGCGACGGATCGAATCAGGGCTTACTATGACGCAAGATACGCCCTCCTTCGCTGAGTTCCTCGTCTAATGCTGCGCGTAAGTTGAAACTATTCCAATCGTCGTGTTCCCATTGAACCTTTAGAACGTGTCAGAAGTCACTAACCGGTAGTACTCTGCATCTTATCTAAATTTGACGACCACGACTGACGCGTTCATGAATAAAACGCTAGATATCATGTACATTTTGTTTCTAGCAGTGGTTGAGTAGTTTCCAAAGCTCAGACGCAAGTACAGCACCTGAAAATTAACATCTTATAATGTGATCTCATTAGATTAATCGAAGAGCAAATCACCGAAATGTGAATAACTGTCGCCATCATGAGTAGGACCTTGAGCTTGAACGCGGTGGGTTCCTAGATCCGAGTTCATACTGTTCTTCTTCTTCTCTTCATGGTGCAGTATTATCCATGCTTTGAACGGATGATTTCACAGCGTCCGCGGCTTCCTTTATTAATTTTAGCGCAACTGAAACCACGGTTCTTTGACTTCTGTTCTGTTTACACTACCTTTGATACCTCACCGTCTTCTTTTTCTCTCCTTTCTTTCGACGTGGTCTTTCCGGTTCCATTACTTGGGGCAAGTCTTCAGTTTCATTCATAGTGAGAAAGTTTGCATTATCATCCAAACTGGATGTCGTCTTTCTATTAAGGAACTATAAATCTATCGCTACTGATAGTTATATCAACACTAACCCATCCAACTCCGTTTCATCCAAGAAGGTCATCATGGAGTCATACTTCCAGGGGTTTTCCTCCTGGTGAATTTTCTTTTCCTTTTACGGGTATCCCTCAAATTCCTCCAGACTAACCGAACCTCTCCTACTGAACAGTTAAGTAATTCGTTAGTATCTCAAAATCTAGCGGTAGAAGGAACATACTCGTACAGTCATGTCCTGCTCTTTGCATGGCATGCAACACACGTGCCCAAGCGTTGTCTCTTCTTCCTTGTAAGTTATATTCATCAGTTTTATGTTGCCATATACTCGGTTCCTTTTCTATCAATTGTCAAATTGTGATCAAGCGCGAGAGGATCGAGGAAAGCGCGAGGAGGGCGCCAGAACAGTCACTCGTCGATATGGGCGCGAAAGCGGCCTATATAAGGGGCCGTCGGATTTCGAAAGTCAGAGTCTTCGTCTCCAGTCTTCCGAGTCAACAAGCTGCCTGACCACATCTCCTGCAACGCTCCTGCAACTCTCGAGCTGCCGTCGCCACGTTTTCGCCTACCTGCCACTGATACTCAAACTTCTGAAGTTCGCTGCACATTGCTGCTATTCTATTACTCTGTTATTTCTACTTGTTGCTATATTTTTGGTAAAGAGAGTAATAAAACTGTATAGTCTTGTGACAGTTAATAAGAAACAAGGGTCATCACCCAATATCTCATCGGTAACCTTCCTCAATACGAGGAAGTTACTGAACAGTCGCCACCAAGTGTGCCACGGTGTACCTGGCACATATGCGCAAGGCGCGCGTCCCCGGCATACCTGCACCATGGTCCCGGGTTCCGCCACCGCAGACGCTTCAATATAGGTTGTCCCAAAAGTTCTGGGACACTTTTTGAATCTCGTATCAGATTTTTCCGCAGCCATTTCGAGATCCATGTGTGGTCTATGGGAAGTGTTGAGGTAAGCATTCCACAGCTTCTTCCCCGTCCCTCGCAGTCGCTGTTCTCATATGAAAAACGGTAATTGAAATTCATCATTTTTGACACACTTCGCTATATGAATTTCTACAAATCAGAATCGCTACCAAGGCCACAAGTCGGGTTGGAGCCATAAGGCGGCATTTCCCTTATTTAGATCTTGATGTTAGCTTCCACATTATTGGCTTTGGAAATGGCTCAATTGCTTCTGCTTTAGTGACTTCTAGCCGGCGTGAAAAACTTCGTCCAAGGAGGCCACCTGCCTTGGATTTGGACCTATCTGTGTTCTCTTGATTCAAACCAATTCGTACGAATCAACTTGCTACCTAGTCCTTACACTTGACTTGGTCTCAAAGCAATGAGAGAAAGGCCTTGCTCCCTTAGGAAAGTTCTTGAAGTTCGGTCAAAGTTTTTCTTTATCAGTTGACCAGTACTCCAAGGAGCACATGTGGGTACTGTGTACAATTTCCTCCCGCCGCGTTCGCACTGTAACTGGATATGGAGTGGTGCCTCCAGATGAATCACTCCTGGGAGCGCCAGCGGGCTAGATCCCCAGAAGGGCAGAAAACGATCGCGCAATGCTCTCAATCCAGTAGGGCGGTGAGGCTGTGTATGGTGGTGGGCGGTACCTTTCTTCGCTTTCGAACGGAAATCCCTCCTTCCCAACGACTATGGTAACCAGGGAGGCCCTATTGTAATCAACTGCAAAATTGGGGTGGACTATCTCTACCATTTGGTCTCAAAACCGAGCAATGGTTTGCCTACTCCACCACACCTCAGGGTCAAACATTTGGAAAACGACACTGCTCGCGATCCCGAAGCTTAGCTGGAGAATTCTACCAGCAGTCTTCGTAGCCCTGACTTAGCTCTTTCCGACTTGCCATCTAAACTAAATCCCACAGCGGCTATCTGTTCTTGGTAAAAAATACGATTTTTGATAAGTACCTTCAAAAATGACCAAGCTCCCCTTCTGCCACAGAACTAAGAGGCTTCTGGAAGCAGGGCAAACCACACATTGCGTAGTGATTGGCAACCAAGTTGCCAAATAAAGGTGACAATATATATATATAGCTGACCGAAATTGCTTCCCACTGGAATAAACTTAATTCGAAAAAAGTTTTGTCCCAGAAACTTTGGGACAACCTAAGAAAACAGAACTGCCTGCTGGACGTTTGTCATCTTAGACGGTTTGTCTTCTTCTTTCTTGTTGTAGGGGTCCATACAAGATCACAAAAAATGGGTGTTTCGTTTTCCGGCTACGCGTTTTTGAGGGAGGTCAAAAACTGAGTGAAACCAATTTGGCGAGGAAGGGCGATTTTATCCGTCTTATTCGGGCTCTGTTGTAGCTGCTGAACTTTGAGAAATGCATAGTTTATGAGGTTGTTCCTTCGCTATGTATCGACAAGAGAGCAAAATAAAGTCAAAAAGAAGTGCATGGACAGAAGTTTTACAGTTACCTTCAACGATTCCCGCAATCACTTGTTTCGGTGATCGACGGATGTCGGGTGGAATAGTGAATGGGCTATCGAGAAGGAAGTTCGCGCGATCGGATCCTCTTGCGGCCGGATTTTCCGCATTTTTCGGATACTTTTATGCGTTTTTCGGATTTCGTCTCCTTGTCTTCCTGGTGCGTGATGATGTATATAACATGTCATTTAAAGACCTCCATTCTGTAAACTCAAGTTTATACGTGGACCCTACATAACTATTGCGCTCTCCAAAACATTACTGAGAAACTCTTTGCTGAAGGTTGGGGCTACGGGGATGACATGGATGCCCTGCTCCCGAGTACGACCACTCATTTTTGAACGCGCGGCGCAAACCTATCGCCGATTTGCTGGGCAAGAGTATTCTTGCACTGGAATCGTTGTGAAGCCCTCACGCAGGGCTGCTAAGCACCATGTCTGGGTGTCAAATTGGCCTCGGCGCCATAAAAGAAGTGTCAGAATCGTAAGCGAGGCTACCAATTAGCCTGCTAGACGAACTTCCAGATATTGTGCAATACATATATACCATTTTCACTTTAAATCGGACACTTTTCAAACCCAAATCGGAACTTTTCAAACCAAATCGGACCACTTTTGCAAACCAATCGACATTCTCGGACACTTTTCAAACCAAATCGAGACACTTTATCAAAGACTCAAAATCGACACTTCTTCAAAACCGAATCGACGCCTTTAATCAAATAGGACACTTTTCAAACCAATCGGACACTTTTCAAAACCAAATCGGACACTTTTCGAATCAGATCGGCGACCACCCCTTACAATTAGGTGGTTGATAACTAGACCACACTAGTACTGTTGCAGGCGCCCGCCCACATTGTCCGCCCCACTTCTCCGGCGCGCAGGGTTTTTCGAAATGCTCCATAAAATCTGCCTCCTTCGACTTTTTTGTTTTTACCCTTTGCACACCACACTTCAACTGAAAAAAGATTGATACCTATGCAGAACTGACTCCGCCCACTTAAAAATGAAGTTACGTAAGTCTGAATTTTTATAACTTTTTTCGACGTAGTTCTTTTCACATCCAATTCTTCACAAAACGAATAACCATGCACACACCAGCGGTTCCCCGCCCTCTGACCCCGCCCACCTTGTGTTTTATTGCGGAATTTTGGTTTTTTCTCCGGATTTTCGCTTTTTTAGGCTTTAGCGTTGGGCCCGGCCCACAAGCTCCCCCTTGGGGAAGGCCCCGCCACTTTTTTGAACATGGTGCAAACCGTCGCTCAGAACAAAGTTTCCTTTTTCGCGGTTTTTGCCTTTTTTTTTACTTCTATGTGCCGGAGAGGCCGTAATCGGCCAGTACGGACACTAGCCCGCCGAGTTGCATCATTTTGGGAAAGTGGGCGGAGCTTAAATTGGTGGGCGGGCCAAACGCTAAAGCCTAAAAAAGCGAAAATCCGGAGAAACACCAAAATTCCGCCAAATAAACACAAGTGGGGAGGTCAGAGGGGGCGGGACCTGGTGTGCTGTGCATGGTTATTCCTTTTGTCAAGATTGGATGAGAAAACAACTACGTCGAAAAAAAGATAAAAATTCAGAACTTACGTTAACTTCATTGTTAAGTGGGCGGAGTCAGATATGTATAAGTATCAATCTTTTCCAGTTGAAGTGTGTGTGCAAAGGGCAAAAACGAAAAAAAGTCGAAGGAGCAGATTTCATGAAGCATCTCGGAAAACCCTGTCCGCGCTGAGAAGTGGGCGGGGATAATGGGGCAGGACTTGCAACAGTACCTAGTGTGGTCTAGTTATGAACCACCTAATTGTAAGGGGTGTGTCTTGATTTGAAAAGTGTCCGATTTGTTTTGAAAAGTGTCCGATTTGGTTTGAAAAGTGTCCGATTTGGTTTGAAAAGTGTCCGATTTGATTTGAAAAGTGTCCAATTTGGTTCGAAAAGTGTCCGATTTGATTTGAAAAGTGTCCGATTTAGAGTGAAAATGGTATATATGCCCCGTTTTAAAATTTGTAGTTGTCAGTTATGAGGGTATATACTAGTAAAGAGAAAGGTCTAGGTATCGAAGTTGGATAACTACGTGTACAGGATACTGATAGCACCAGTTAGACAAGACCAACCATCATAGCTCGAACAGCTCGAGGAGGGAAATTTCGCTGAATGCCTGTATATAGAGGTTATTGATGGCCCTGATCTCGGTTCTGACCTTTATAATTGGCGCCTAAGCCATTTGGCGCCAACGTGGCTCTGAATACCCATCGACTTGTATTGTTTTTGATGCAATGTCGAATAAGGCCTCATTTGCTATGCACACTCCATATTAGAAATAGAAAAGAGCTAGAAAAGTGGTTCAAAATCGCTTTCCCTCAGCAAATTTTCACTGATTTTTTGAACTTCACAGAAATGCATAGCAAAACGAAGCCCATTTTTGTGGTCCTTATCCTTATATGGACCCCTACAACATGCAACAAACCATTTCTGAAAAGCGCACCACAACCTGAAAGACTTCCCTTGCGAGGGGGGGGGGAATCTCTTTTTTCCATCACACATTCATATATGCTTGTTGTTTAACCTTGTATCTTCTGCTTCCTTTGCGATTCATCTTCATTTCCATCGTCCTCCTTTATCT